GGACCGGAGATCCAGCGTTTCCAGCGATGAAAGGACACCGCCAGCGAGGGAACAATCGCTCAACAGCCCCGCCGAGTTCTCTCCGGGGAGGGAACAACGCGCCAGCTCAGCCCCAGCCCCGTCCCTTCGAGGTTTCCAATTAATGGAACTGCTGCTCGAGCACCAGCCCAGCAGGGCGAGGGCATCTGCTCTCTGTTTCTCTGCGGCTCAGAGCTGCCCATGAAGAGCTCCGCGTTTGCCCGAGCACCAGCCCGGAGTAACCCCGCGCACAAACCCGGGGCAACCGCGCCCCGAGACGGGTGTTGGCACGGGCAGAAGGGCGCGAACGGGGAGGGGGAAACTGGTGGTAAATCAAGGGCGATTCCCCGCGCGGGGGGGAAATTGGGGTCATTCAGGAGGATGCCGCGGGTTACTCACGGAGGATGCCGCGGGTACTCACGGAGGAATCCTGCGGGTACTCACGGAGGATGGAGGATGCGGGCTCCTCGGGCGCGCTCCCGGCGGCCGCTCCGGCTCCTTCCCCCCGGCCGGCTCGCCCGCCGCCCTTGCCCGGCCCGGGACAGCCCGGGGACAGCCCGGTGCCGCTGTCGCTGCCGGCACAGCCCCGGCACGGCCCCGGCCCGGCCCCGCCGGCCGCAGGTGCCTCCCCGGGCCGCCCACCGGCCCGGCCCCCGGCGCCGCCCCGCGGGTTGCCCCCGGCACGGCTGGGAGGGGGTGGATGATGGAAGGCTCCGGGATACGATTCCCACCCCCCTCCCCAGCTCACAGCCAGAGCGCCGGAGGTTTGGGAACAGCCCGACTCCCGCGGCGCTTCAGTGCCCGAAGGACTTCCAGGCTCTCCGGGGGAAGGATCCCAAACGCGTCCGTCCCGGGTGGTTCTGGCCACTCGTCAGGATCCAGCTGGGAAGGAATCCTTGCCTTTAACCTGTGCTTCAACTTCTTTATCCTGCATTTCCCGCTAAAGAGAGGGGAAGAAGCGTGTGACCACAGTCCCTGTTGGGATTTTTCCTGTGGAAATCCCACTTATAAAAGGGATCTGCCCCCTGCCTAGACCTGATGCTGCTCCCCCGGGAAACCAGAAAACCACATGAACAAGCCACAGCCCTCAGTCCAGGCTCAGCTCGTGGTTTAGGGTTGTTGTGCAGATGTTTCTCCCCCTATCCCCCAGTTCAGCTTCCCCAGCTGCAACCAGAGCCACCCTCCCTGCAACAATCCATCCGAAAACACATGGATGGAACCTGCCCCTTACAAAGTCCTGCCTCCACATGCAAAGGCAGCAACAGGGGCATCCCAACTGCCCATGAACATTTGCAGTGGATTTCTTGGGAAGACCAGAGTACGGCACAGCCTGAAAAGTTGGGATGAGCAATGAGGAGCTTCCTTAATTCACAGCTCTCTGCTTCTTCCTGGGTGAGAAATGTTCACTCTGGGTCTGTGCATGATGATCTGCAGGTTCACCACATAAAGCACTTTGGGGAGCCATTGACAAAGATGTCAAATATAAACCTGAACTTGCACTTATAAACCTGAACTTGGATTTATAAACCTAAACCTGGATTTATAAACCTAAACTTGCCTTGGTGCCAGTCAGTGCTTGCACCAAAGAGAAAGCTACAGCCACACATCCCATTTGAGAAGCTGGTGCTCAAGTCCAAGTGAAGACTTAAAGAACAACCAGACCAGCACAGACCACCACAGGGAATGGGAACTCACCTCCTCCAGAAACTTCTGTGTTCCCAGCACGGGTCATGTTCAGTTTGGTGCCCACCATGGACTGGTTTCTACACTGCACCCCAAGCTGAACCCCAGAGAGGCTTTCTCACCAGAAACCACATCCAATTATTCAGCAATTTTCCTGTACAACTACAAAGACCCACATTAGTCACTTCCAGCTCAATCCTTTTGCCTCAATCCCTCCCTGTGCAGCTCCTTAAAACCAGAGACTGAAGTCTCAGCAGGGATTACTCACCAGTCATCCTTTCAAGGGAATAAACTTTGCTTGATTGGTTTCTTTTCAATTACTGCCTCATCCTGCACGAACAAGAAGGAACATGAGGCTCTCCTGGGAACAGGAGTGGTTTCCCAGCCACGTACCTTCCCTGGGCTGTATCTCTGGAGAGCACAAGGGGCTTCTTTCAACAGTGAGCAACCATCACTTGGAAGAGGTATGAATGCAAGTTAATGAAAGTAATTAATAACTCAATTTAAATAGTATAAGAAAGAAGGAACCAGCCTCTGTGACTGCTGGATGGATGTGGAAAGAAGAAAATGTTCTGTGTTGCTACCAAGCATTGGCTGGATGATGTTCCTCCCTTGCAGAGAGGCAAGTTCAAAGGAGAATTCAGATCTCCTGCTTCCCACTGCTTTGTCCTGAACAAGGACATTCCCTCTGGGACAGGTACCTGAGGAAAGACAGACCCCTTGCTTTAGAGAAACCCCCCCTGGAGCTTCTGTTCGAAGTCTCAGCCACGTGAGAAAACCAATCCAGAGGATCCCCCTGGGAGGAACTGGCACACAGCAATCCCAGCTGGAAGCAGCCCAGTGTCGTTGTTCCCAGGCACCACAGTGTGCTCAGCATCCTTTAAGCCATAAAACCCACCTGGATTTATGAGGTGCTGCCCCTGCCCTGACGCTCAGAAGGGTGTGAACATCCAAGGACGAGCTTGGTAAAGGCAAATGTGAGGCAGCAGAGAGGGAGGGTGGGACTTTCCCAAGTGTTTGCTTGGGAAGAAATCCCTCACCAGGTCCTGAATTTGTAGCCCTTTACCACTAGCTACAGTAATAAACCCACACGCTGGGTTTATACACCGTTAAATGTGTAAATACATATAAATGTTTATACACTGTTGTGTATAAACTGCTGCCAACACCAGTTACCCAGTTTACAGCTCCTCAGCCACCAATCCTGATCTATTCCTGTTAGAGGAGGACAAAAGGAGACACTGGGGTGCTCCAGAACAATCCTGACAGAGTCAGTGAATGCTGAAAGACGTAACAGGACTCTCAATTAACTACAAGGGCTGCTACAGCCTTGCAGAAGCCCTAAGGAAGATAAATTCCCCGAGTTTAATCATGGAGAAGGTCTGGACTCCTCCTGGAACACCAGGGCAGTTCACAGCACCACTGGTTACGTTTCCTGCACTGAGCAGGGCAGGGCCTGGGACTGTCTTAGTGAGAACAAAGAGAGAACAAAGGGAGAGCAGAGATATTGCAACAGACTGACCAGAAATTCCTTATTAGCGTCTGGAACTGTGTTGTGAAACCGGGACCTCAGCACTCTACACATCCCCACAGCCTCAAAAGCCATTCCCAGACAGCCCTGCAAGGGCTGGGGCTGAGCTGAGGGGACCCAGCAGGAGAGCACAGCCCAGGCCCTGACAGGGACACGGTCCTGCACAGGCACAAAGGACACACAATTTGGTATTTTGATATTTTATGTAACAGCAAACCAGGAGTGTCCTTCCCACTGCCTCACCCTGGGACTGCTGATAGCTGGGGTATGTTCAGTGCAGCAGGGAAATCAAACATTCCCTTCCACAAGCCTGAACACGCCAAGGTGTTAAAAATGTGAGAGCCCTCGTTCAGAGGAGGATTTTAACACATCAGGTAACACTGGAACACGGTGTGGTTTTAGTGGGACTCAGCACAAACACACCCTAAAGCTAAAATGCCCAAAAAAGCCCAAGGTCCCACCCATCCCTCCACTCAGACGGGCACATGGTAAGACACAACTCCAGTCCTGGTCTTTTTTAATTGAGATAAATCAAACAGAGCCTGTGAAACCTTCCTGGAGCTGAGTGTGAGGTCAGGGCCAGCCCTGTGTCACACCCCCTCGGGCTGCAGGGGCAATACCTACAGGAGAAGGAGTGTTTTATCCTGCTCTGCATTTTCTCCAAGGGAATGAGGCTTGGCTGGGGTCTCCTTCCACATTAAACACACACTGGACCATAAATCTCTCCTAGCAAGTTTTCCACTCAGAGCAGAGCAAGTAAACAAAGCCTGGCAAGATGAACATAACAATCTTCTGTTCTGGGCTAAATAATCCAAGAGCAGACAAAAATGGAAGTGAAACCTTTCAAGGAATAAATGAAGCAATAGGCATTTTATCCATGAGGCCTTTCCAGGGGAAGCAGTTCAGCAAAGAGGTAGAACGAGGAGTTGTAATCACAAGTTTGCAAAAAACAGGGCTTGTTCTCAGCTGTTGGGAAATAAAACCAAACCACCCTCAGCAACTGTAAATCCAGAAGACACAGGCCCAGAGAAACACCACACATTTCAGCTGCTTCTCCAGGAGGCTTTAAAGGGATCTGGGGTATTCATTTATACAAAGTGCAGGCTCGGAAAGGGCCGAGCTGGTGCCCCTGTGCCAGCCCTGCTGCTAAAAATAGCACCCAGCAGCAGGTCAGTGATTCAGAGAAACAGGTTCTGGTGGTTGTCACCCAGTCATGGCATGCAGTAAATAAAGCAGAGCTGGAGTTCATTCACTCCCAAGGCAGGGTGTCACCCTGGAGTGACCAGAGCCACTTCTGGTACCGACCCATGGCCAGCACTCACCTGCTCCTGATGTCCCCCAGGACAAAAGCCCATGGTTTAGTTTTGTGGATCAGTGCATCCCATATTATTTCTGCAAAGTCTGGCCCTTTCTCTCCAGTGGAAATGGGTCTTGGGAGATTTTTGGAAAGCAAGGAAATATTTCTCTTAATTGCAACAAAATCTTCGCAGAGCTCAGGACTGGCCCAAGTGTCAAACTCCCCTGAGGACTGACCTGGGCTGTGAGAGGCCCCCAAACCCACCAAAAACACCCTCAGTCCCTCCTGCAGCCCAGCAGCTCCCAGGATATTTCTGCTGAAACCCCCAACTCCTTCACTTCCCTGATAATTTCCACATGGAAAACCACAAACAGTTATTGGGAATGTTCACTCAAGGCAGACACCACCATTAAAAATCTTATATATCAAACTTGGTCCAACCTCTGGAAAACAGCTAAAACCCCAAGTGTGAATGGCACTGCATTGTTTTATTTTAAGTGTCTTTACACAATGCTGGAATGTTCCACATTTTACACGTTTACACATCGACAACATCACACTTGCTTTGCCTTAGAAAACTGTTTCTGGGGGTTTTCCACTTATTCCTACTCACAGCACCTTCTACAGTGGGGCAGAAATCAAACAGCTCACAAAATATAAACAGCACAGAGAATCCAGACAGGGCTTCTGGAATTTTAAAAATCCACAAGCCTGATGGGTAATACAGGTTTTTGTTGGGTTTTTCCCCTTTGTTTCGGTACCACAGAACAGTGAGACAGAGAAGTTGGTCTTTGAGTGATTTTAATACCTGAAGAGATACATAAATATCACACCTGTGGAGGCAAGGTGAACAAACCCCATTTTCCTGCCTTTTTAATCTCTACTATTCCTGCCTCTGGAACAAGGACCTGCCTGCAGGATCCCACTTTGCAACGTGAAGCTGGTGGTGGGAGGGATCACAATCCAGGACAACCCAAGAGCTGGAAACTGCTCCATCCTTGTGAATCCCTGACCATTCCTTTTCTCTCTGCTGTCAGCCAAGTGAGAACACTTTGGAAAGTTCAACAAGCACGTCATGAATGACTGAACCACACCAAAATGAACCCGAAAAATCTGAATTTCTGAACGACTCAAATGATTTCCACACACAAACATCAGCAGCCTGGTTTGTTCACAAATCATTTTATCCTCTGAAATAGAAAAAAAAAAAGAAGAATCTGTCTAGACTAAAAAAGTTTGGCTATAAAATAGCATAAAAGCACAGGAGCAGGTGTTGTTATACCAAGGCATGTTTTCCTCCTACTAAAAAACACTTAACACAAGATCACAAAATTAAAGATCTGTATTCTAAAAGATGCACCCTGCTCTCAGAGGCAGCAGATGCTCTGCCAGACACGCAGGATGCCACACAGGAAAACAGCAAACAAGGGCTGAAACTGCATAAGAACTGGCTAAGCCAGGCAACTGATTGTCTTTGAGAATACAAAACAGACTGGAGAAGTTAAAAATTAACCCTCAGCATCTTATCTCCTGACATGACCTAACAGTCACTGCATCATCCGGCCCAGGAGCTGCCTCGAGGACTGGACATGTTCAGAGAGGATCAGAGACAACCCATTCAGCTGCTGGACCCATATTTTAATCTACCCACTGTAATTAACTCCTAATTAGGTGTCAGTGCAAACCAGCAGTGCCCCACCCAGAGCTCAGAGCAGGAGTGTTGGTGACAGACTCAGTGTGTGGCTCTTCCCCTGTGCAGCCACCAAACCCAGCTGAGTTCAGCTCCATCCCCGTGTCTGTGCCTCGTGTCAAATCACAAACACACACTTGGCCTTTCTGAGGAAAGCAAAGGTTAATCCCCACCTCAGCTGGGAAGGAGTTTTAGCACAAAGAGTGCATTTCACTTGTGTTTAACACTACATTAACTGGAAGCTGCTGGACCAGCACAGATCAGCTTTAAGTTGCTGTGCAAGGAGCTTTCTGGAACCCAGTCACGACAGCAAGAGATTATTTCAGCACTTGGTACATCACACTGTACAACAGAAACAAAAAAGAGTAACATCTTAAAAAAAAAAAACCAAACCCAAAACACAACCAGACTCCCTAATTGTCACTATTTCAAGTCAGGTGGATTTGCTACACTCGGGGGGGGTGGGGACAGGACTAGTCCCTAAAATTAAAGTGCTTTTCAGAGCATTGGCATCCAAACCCTTGAGCATGAGAGACAACTACAAGTCAGATCTGTTGTCGCTACAGCAGCAGCACAGACATCAACACATGGACTCAGAGGAGTGTCTGGTGTTGGTACCCCCTGGAGCAGCCCAGCTCTAGCAGGGCATGGTCCCCCCCACCTCCAGGGCACACTCGAAGGCCTTGGAGTCGCCCAGGATGGTCGGGGGGGGGTCTGGGCGCCGGGTCTGCAGGATCTTCTGTCTGGGGTTTTTGATCTCCTCCTCCTCCTCCGTCTCGCTCTCGCACACGTGCACCACGACGCTGGGGGTGGAGTCTGTCCCGGCGTGCAGCTCGTACTTCTCCCCTGGGAGCAGCAAACAAAAACCGGGCTGAAACACCCCCGGGGCAAAGCATTTCCCCTCAAAAGCTCCTCAGTATCCCCAGCAGCACAACCAAGTGTTCGGTTTGCTCAACCTCCACACTTCACTGAGCCTCTTTAAAACAGTTACATCGAATACAATCAGCCTTTCAACCGGTACTTAAAGCAAGGGAGGGATGCTAAAAACCCTCAGGAGCCACTGAAGACATCAAAGCACAAGCAGCACAGGCGTTTTTAAGTGGCATCATTTATGCTGCACATTTTATGTGACATTTGTAAATGAAAACCCACAAAAGGTTAAGCCTCCGTATTTCCTGTTTTTCACAGAAAGCAAACACCATGTTTCCCAGGAAGGCTCACAAAGAAGATGATGATTAAACCCAAAAAGTACATATTAGCATCTCTACATCCTTAGTAACCTGAGCTGCCCATCTGCAAGAGACTGAAGTTCTCATGCCTCTTTTATAGTTTGTTCCTTAATGCTGAGACTCTGACAGAATTCAATATATGGATGTGATGGAGCCAGTACCACACAGGCCAGTCTGTGCTACTCTTTCAACCAATTAACTAATTAAGTAAAAAAAGTGATGGATCATTTCATTCAAGGAAGAAACATCACATAAAAGAGATCGAGTTTCTTCTCACACAAAGGTAAGGAGATAAAAATCCCTCTATAACCATTTTTTAAAGTTAAGCATCACAGCAAAAGCAGGTCAGTGTTCCCACCTGGTCCCAGCTTGGAGACAGCACACAGCAAGTCATAGTTTATCAGGGGAGTTGCATCTTCACTCTGTTTCCACCCAACTGGTGGAGAGGCAGGTGGGGAAATCAGGAACTGTTTGACAGGTTGTGGAGGGAGGAGGTAGGACTTGTCACCTATTTCACTGGATACCTGCACCTGAAGGCAAAACCAGGAGATACAGATGGCAAATATTAATTCCCTCTTTATTTAGTCCCTTCCCCACTAATGCTTTTCCACCCTCTGCTTTAGCAATGCTCCATTCAGCCCAGCTTGAAAAAGAATTTCCCCCAGGGAAACGCTGCAGTTCAGAACTTGGCCTGTGCAAGTGCTGCCAGTGCTGATCCAGCAACAACATCCCTGCAAAGCATCTGTTATATGGAACATTTTGCATCCACTTCTTTCCTTTCAGCAAATTTCTGTTTGGGCAGGAACAGCAAAACTGCCCCTAAAGGGTGAATTTTATCCCTGCCAGTGACTCCCTGACACGGCTCAGTGCAGGACAACGAGGCTGGAGGTGACTTCTGATGGTTGTCACAAATGGAACTCTGGGACAAAGGAGGAATAAAGGGACAGGGACCCAGGCACAACATCTTTGTTCCATCACACCTGTGCAAAGTAAAGCTTCAGCTTCTTCCCACTGAAGTCTGTTTCGTGCAGCTCTATCCGTGCTCTCGCTGCTGCCTCGGGGTTGCTGAAGTTTATCCTCACCCTCCTGAAGCTCTTAAACAACTGGAATGTCACTTGGTCATCATAGACTGTGAAAAGGGCTTCAAACCTTTCCTAGAGATGAAGTACAGACATTCTCCAGACACAAAATGAATGTTTTCTCTCTGGGAAAACACACTGCCCTTTCCCTTTCCCCTCCCAAATCCCATCCAGTTCCTTCATCTCCTCCACCTGCCCATTCCACACCTCCCTCAGTTACCCTGCAAACCCGTGTTCAGTGCAGCAGCTTTGTCCCAGAGTTAAACGTGAAATTCCAAGAGCACCTGGATGTGAGCAGAGACCAAAAACTGGGAATACACAAACTGCCACCTAGTGAGAGAAACTCGAAGTGCAGATCTCCAAAAATTCACAGCACCGTGTATCCACCAACAATTTCAAAGGCCAGGGAAGAGTGGTATTATCTGCTCTTTGGTAACTCTACTCATGCTGCTCTGAGCTTCCCAGGAAAACACTTTGGGTTGGGTTGTTCCCCCAGTTATAACAAGCATTAATACACTGAAAATCCAGACAAAAACATTAAATAGCTGCAGCTGCACTTCCAACCCCACACCCTCCTCCTGCCTTACCTTTTCCTCCTGCACCTCAAACACAGCTTCGTGGACACTGCAAGCAAAGAGGGAGGTAGGCAAGTCACTTAAATCCATCATCTCTTCCAAATCATCTTCATTCTCCCCAAAAATCATCTGCTCCTCCTCCTCCTGGTCGCTGCTGTACAGGTCTGACTGGCTGTCGCTCCAGGACTTCATGGGGTCCCTCAGCATCCTTCACCCACTGCAGCTCCTGGGCACGGGCCAGCTTCCACCAGGGCTCTGCCATCCCAAAAAACACACCCCAAACTCAGTGGGAGGGCACCACACCACCCTGCCCTGCCTGGGGAGGCAAAGAATTTTACAGAAACAAAGCAGAGAAGTCACCCTGACGTTTGTTGTCACCCCCAAATGAGCAGCATCTCACCCCAACCCTGCAAGGGGAGCCAAGACTCTGCTGCTCAATCAAAAGGAACATAAAGTTCCTTTCCTGTCAAGGAGCTGAAATTCCTCCTCCCTTTGCCCTGACAGAAAACCAAAATGACAACACTGTTCTAGAAGCTTTTCTCCATGACACACTGAACAGCCACTTCTTATTTAACAATTAAAACCCCTTCCCGAGTCATCAGAGGGGTCTTCTGATAGTTGAGGAAATAACTTTATTTCCTCAGGTACCCAGCAAAGTTAAACCACCTCTCCAAAGCCTCTCCAGGCACATATGGAACAAAATCTAAAATCTCCTAATGGAAGGAAATTTCCTTCTCCTGAGCACTGGAAAATACCTTTCCTTCCCGTGGGGAAGAGTATCCACAGCTGGGAGTAAACACATCAAGGGATTAAAAAAACCATGCAAAAAAAAAAAGCAAAAGACTAAATAAAAGAGTTTAGGGAGACTAGTTTTTATACAGTAAAAAAAGATTTTAAAGGAGCATACCTTCTGCCACCTATGGCTGCAAAAATCTTGAGGTTATCACACTGCAAATGAGAGAAAACATGGAACTGCACTGGATCTACCTTTGGAAAGAGTGTTCATTTATCACATAACACTAAAAAAAGATAGGTAAATATATTGGTGTTTCATTGGCAATGGTCTCATTTGGAATATCAGCTCATTCTTTTGAAGCAGACACTGAGAAATGCCATGAACTGAAACAAAAACACATTAAAAATGCAGAATAAACCCACTCTCACTCATGGGAAAACATTAAGACAAGATTTCTAATTAACAACACACAAACACTTTGCAGTTAAGGAGAAAAAAACATGTAAAAATGAGGGAAAAATATTTAGGATAAATGGTTTTAAGTATTTCCAAACTGCTCTGGGACACACCTAAGGAGTGATGCTCCATGAAATGAGTTAAATCAGTGGAACAAAAGCTGTTGGAAGGATCCTGTGCTCCTGTAACTGCCCCAGTCCCTGTCACCCCTTCAGCCAAACCACCACAAACTCGGGCACAGACCTGGGAACATTTCCTGAATTTCCCCAGGAAAAGCTCCTCAGTGTCACAGAAAGGATGGAAATGGAAGAAAATGAGTTGCTGGTGGAAACCTCCTTTTTTGTGCTTGCTGATTCACACAAGGAGGGAAGAGAAAAGGGAACAAAACTGTGCCAACAAGGGAAAAAACAAAAGGCACCATCTGGCTCTGGGAGAAATCTGGGCTCAGCAAACCAGGCAGCAGGACACAGACACTCCTCCAGTCCAGCCAAGGTGGAACTGAGAGCAACATTCCAGCCCTTGGTTCTAAAACATCAGCTTAAAAGACCTAAAGAATGCATTATTGGGGGGGAAAAAAAAATAAATCTCAGTTTTTCCTTCTTTTTCCAAATTTGGTTGATTCAGAGAATTATAATTAAGTTCAAAGTTCCAGCAAGAGGAGGTTCTAAAACTCTGAAACTCCTTTTGCATTTTGGGAAAAAAAAAAGAAGACATCCAGGTTATTGCCTTGTCTTGTGGTGGAACAGAACAGGGCAGTTTTGTAAAGGAAAAGGTGACAAGTGGAAAAGTAAAAGGCAAGACTGATGGCAGGGCAGGCAACACAATTAAGGAAAAGGTCTTTGCCAAATCGACTCAGGAACAGGAGAGGGATCAATAACAAACAGAAGTGTTTGCAGACAAGTGCCAGGAGCTCAGATATCCCAGACAGCACACACACAGTCAGAGAGGAGGGATGGAAAAGGAAAGGGGAAAAAAAAGCCAAGAAAAGAGCTAGAGCACCCAGCTTCTTTACAACTAATTTCTGTACCGCTGAACAATTCGAGTTCCCTGTGAAGTGGACAGAAAGTGATGGTTGCACAGTCACTGTGACTGTCAAGAGATGCACACAAACCTGCCCAGTTATCATCTTAACAGTGAATAAATTCAGCTGGCAGTCCCTGCACCTTCACTCTGTGTCCTGATCCGCTCCATCCAGCTCCCTGTGAAAAACAGGCAACCAAGCACCACCTCTGCCCTCCCGCCTCCAAACCACACAGGGTTTAAACCAAATGCACATCTGGGTTCTGGGCACAGAGCTGAGGTGACAGCCCTGCTGTCCCTGCCCTGCAGGCCTGCCCTCTGCTCACCACTGTGTCCTTTTCCCATGCAAACGCCTTTCCTACTTGGAAAATCCCAATTTTTGCTGCCCAGCAACGTGTGGCATCAAATCCTGCAGGGGGGGAACTGTTGCACTGAGGAGAAGCTCTGCAGGTCTGTAGAGTTTAAGGATCCTGATGGAAAACACCCTGTCCCCAGCTCTTGATCAGATACGAAACCATCATGTTTTAAGCTTTAAATGCAGCAGGAAAATACCTGACTGGGTTAAATTTTCTGCCCTGTGAAAAGGCAGCAGGTCTCCAGTGAGGAGTGTAAATGACACCGGGGAGCTGGGGCAGTTTAACCCTCCCCGTGCCAGGAAGCAGATTAAATTCCTTCCTCAGCCAGTGACACAAATTTAATTCCCAGAAATCATCTCACTGCTTTAAAGAACAAGAGTGGAAACCTGGACATGGTTAAGCTGCAGAACACAATGCAATTATTCCCTGGAATTCCTGCAGCTTGCAGGGGAAGGGATTTAATAGAATCAATTTTAGCCTAAGTTAAGGGAACATTTCAGCAGCAACATCAACAGCTCTGTGTAATTTCCAGCACAGCATTTCCTGCTGTAAAGCCAAAATCTGAAAAGCTTCTGTAGAGAACACTGAGCTATAAAAGCTACTTCAATTATGCTGTGGTTCTTCCTTCATTAAGAATGCATCATAGTTCTGTTCTTTTTAATCATAAACCTACATGGTTAATTCTGGGGTTTTTTTCTCATGTTACTCCTTTTTCACGACTTCACCCAAATCAGTATCAGAGCACCTGGTTACTGAGCAAGGCAAGAATATCCAACACCTTCCCTGGCATCAGATGAGACAGGTAAGACTGATGTGTGAACGTTAATTAACAAGTGCAGTGACAAACAGCCCTGTGAGAAGTGATATTTTAAAGAGATCAGGCAGAATTATTTGATTATGCAATTATTAGAAAGCATTAAAACCAGAAGAAGGGCACTCCAAGCTTGAGACAGGTACAGGAATGTGATTGTCAGTGCAACAGCCAAAACACTCTGATTCACCTTCCCTAGGAAAAAAAGGGAATTTCTTCACTTACCTCCCTGGAAAGGTGAGAGGTTCCCACTTATCTATGAATGGAGATATGCAAATGCAAATTACAACCAGCTAATTCCTATTATGATAGGCTAATTCTTACAAGAGTATTAGCTGCAATAAACAAATTAAAAGCGATTTCACTGCAATACTCATTAGCAAACTATTTGCTCGTTTCAGATTTAACACCCTCACACAGCTCGACTGAGAGGATCCCAAGAACTAAAGCCACTGGGATCAGACCTTTCACTAAGCCCTTTCTTCTGGGAATTAATACCTGCTTACCACTCAAACACCGGGGGACAGGGGCCGCTCAAACGCTCGAAAGCAAACTCTCCAAGTTCACGCAGAGCTAAAAATGTAAAACTTAAGCAAAGCAGCTTCTGCCATTGGGGACTTCAGTTCTTCCCCGGCACAGGCAGCACTGGAGGTTTTCCTGGGCATCCTCTGGAGCAGCAGCTGAGCAGGAGCAGCTCCCTCGCAGTCACATCCCACCCTCCCGAAAACCCTCACCGTGAGGGCTGCACACGGCGATTCCCACAGCAACAGGATCCTCCCCGAGGAGCTGAGGGGCAGAAATCCCTCCCTGGGAGGGTGGGAGGCCCTGGCACGGGGTGCCCAGAGGAGCTGAGGCTGCCCCATCCCTGGAAGTGTCCAAGGCCGGGCTGGACGGGGCTTGGAGCAACTGGCGGTGGAAGGTGGTCCCTGCCAGGGCAGGGGTCGGCACTGGGTGCTCTTGAGGTCCCTCCCCACCCCTTCGATCCCAACACCCGTGGAGCTGCCCGGCGAGCGAGTGGGCCAGAGGGGTCACCCCCCGCCCGGGCCGAGCCCTCGCTGGGGATATTCTTTAATTATAAAACCCCCCAAACCCTCGGGACTCCGCCTAAGGGAGAGAACAACAACAACAACAACAACAACAACAACAACTTCCCCACCCGCGGCTCGGAGCGCTCGGCCCGGCCCGGGCCTCACCTCACCTGCGGGCGGGGCGGCGGGAGCGCGCACCGCGGTGTCCCCGTCGTGGGGCCGGAGCGGCGGGAGCGCGCACCGCGGAGTCCCTGTCGTGGGACCGGGGCGGCGGGAGCGCGCACCGACCGAGGAGCGGCGCCCGTGTGGGGCCGGAGCGGCGGAGCGGCGCACGGGCAACGGCGCGGGAGCGGCGGGAGAGGCGGGAACGCGCCTGCGCGCGCCCCCCCCCCCCCCCGCGCCTCCGGGAAGCGGCGGGGAGGGGGTCGGTGACCCGGATGGAGGAGGGAGAGGGAGGGAGAGGGAGAAGGAGGAGAGGGGAGTATAAGAGAGGAAGGAGGGAGGGAGGGGCGGCCCGCGCGCGTGCCCCGCCCCGCTGAGGGGTCGCGCCGGGCGGGTCACGTGGCTCGGCGATGGCTGAGGTCGGGGGGGGGTGTGTGGAATTTATTTAAATTTATTTAAAAATTCCCCACATCGCCCTCGGAGCTGCATCTGGAGAAGAGCCGGCGGCTCTGGCAGGGCCGAGCACGGGGGAAGGAGCCGCTTCAGAGCTGCCCAGAGGAGCTGCGGCCGCCCCGCCCCTGGGAGCAGCCCGGGATAGCGGGAGGTGTCCCTGCCCCTGGAGCCGGATCATCTCCAAGGTCCCTTCCAGCCCAAACCATCCCACGACTCTGGGATAGCGGGAGGTGTCCCTGCCCCTGGAACAGGATCATCTCCAAGGTCCCTTCCAGCCCAAACCATCCCACGACTCTGTGATTCCACAGTTCCATCACCTGTTGCCGGAGGTCGGGGGAGCGCCGGGGGCTGTCCCGGCAGGGCGGGGGGCTCGGGGGATGCTCCGTGTGCCGGCACAGATGCTGCTCCTCCAGGGGGGATTTCTGGGCAGCCCTGGCCCGCTGCCAGGCGGGAACAGTGACGGTGGGAGTAAATCTCGGCTCTAATCCCAGCCGCGAGGCGGTTCGAGGCAGCCCGTCAGCCGAGCCGGCTGATAAATCGATGCCTGTGTCCCTCCACCTCTCAAAACACAAAGAAAGCAGCGTTCCTTTGTTTGGCCGCATTTGGCTATCGGATTTCGGCGAGGCAAACGTTTGGTTCAGCGGCTTTGTCCTCGCTTGGAAAGCCAGAAGACAGTGTGGGCTTTTGACATGAACACTATAAATCTCTGTGGTTGAAATGCTTTTTTATTCTAAATTTCAGGCGCGGTAAAAAAAGGGGAGAAAGCAGCTCTCAGCTGGTCTTCTCCACCAGGCTGGGGATTTATTTGTGCACAGGCCTTTCCCTCATAAGAAAACAGCAGAGCAGAACTCACTTTAGAAAGGTAAGATCAGTCTCACCTGCCCAGCTAAAGGGATTCTGCCATTTGGATGCCCTGCAAATTTAGGTGGTAGTTGGTTGCTCTCAGTTACCTCAGCCTTCCCTTGCTGCAGTCACATCCTTCATTGTTCCAACACCACATTCTTCCTCCCTGGCCAGCAATATATTCTGCTTTAATACCACAAACTCCCAACGTTTATGGCCACTTCAGAGGCATTTTAAATACTTCTGTCTCATTTGAAATGACACCTCCTTAGTAGCACGTGTTTCTGTAATGCTCCTGACATCTGGCTCAATTGCCATCACTTGATATTAGCACTTGTCTGTTATACAAGACACTAACCCTTAAATGATTGATGTCAACAAATTATTACCACATTTATCAGAAATTCTGGGGCTTGGGGAAGCTGCTTCTGCCAGCGTTGTCCAGGGATTCAATCAAGTGCAGCTCTTTAACACCAAAGCAGCTGAGGCTGCTCTTGGATTGTTTTTGGTTTTTTTTTCCCTTTGTGGTTTGGGACCCCAAGAGATACATTTAATTAAGAGTATCCTGAGGGTTATCCCTCTTATCCCCCTGGACTAAAACCCATCTGTTAAGTGTTAATTAAGTTGGCAAGCAGTCGATTAAGCTGCGTCCCCACTATTCTAAATTTATTTACGACTGTCTCTAGATCTCTAAATGGCAGTGAAGCTGCTCCTGCATCAAAGACATTGTGCCCTGGAGCTGAAGGATGACAACTCCTCCAGCAGAGCATTCCCAGCTTGTATCAGAGGGCTTGGCTGTCTCAGAGAACAATTTCAGTAAAAAACTCATGAGTCAAGCCACCAGTGATTTTGGGGTTGTGTCTCCCCACTCCTTTAGATTATCCTTGGATCACATTTTCAAGCTCTTCTCCAAAATAATAAATGCTAATTTATTTTTTT